CTTCAAAATTATACACATATAAGACCCATACAACATGTTGAATTTCAGCATTTTTATCTTTAAATGAGGGATAATGCTACCTTTTTGTATAATAAAGAAGGCTGGATGAAATTGAGTATTGAAAAAATCTAACTCAGTATCCAGAGCACGTGTATATTCACAATATTATAAATATCAGTTCCCTTTGCACTGATTAAAAACATAAAGAGCTTGAACCTCAAGGAAACTTTTAAGCATACAACCTCCAACTCAGTTTGAATGATGACTCAAACACTCTATAAAAGGAAAGCATTAAGATGTATAAGAGCAAGTTTTTTTTTAATGAAATGTCAATTGATGACTAAATTATAAGACAGACAAGTACTAAGGGGATAAGAAAGATTGTATCTGAAACTAATTGGACAAAGGCATTTTGAGGTAGAATAGTTCTCTTCAACTTTCTTCTCACAAGTAAAAGGAGTTGAGTTATGGGTCACTGAGTAGCGTTTTCAAGGTCACTGGGGAGTAAGTGTTGGAACCAGGACTGGAGCCCAAGGTGGCTGATGTTGTCGCCAGTAGTGCTCTTTCCACTGCAGCTCTGATTATTTCTAGGCTTCTATTTTCTTACCCATAGAGCAAACAGGTTGACATTTAAGTACAAAGACATGAAACTCTGAATGAGTCCTGAGCTATGTGGTAGCCACTCCTTGGGGTAAAGCATGCATGTTGGACAATGCAGTGGTTTGGAATTTGAAAGCCACATTGAGACCCTGGCTTTTACTGTCTCTTTAGCCTTAGAAGTTACTAAACATTTTTTAAAGTAGCAATAATCTTATCTGAAAAAAACATAAATAAAACAAAAATGTAAAACATACTAGTCAATGCATTCATTCTGTAATGTATGTAATACTGCCCCAAGCACATATTCTGCATTGAAAGGTGATAGTTATGATTTCTTTCATCTACATATTATGATATTTTTATTGATCTTTATATACTTTAATTTGAAGTAGGAAGGAACCACAGATTTAGTGGTCTAGAAAAATGCTAGGTGATACTGTTGCCTCAGGCCAATAAAGGTAAGTTCTGGACCCCCTTGGAGGCGATTTATACTTAACTTTGATTCTCCTCTGATCCAGAGAGCCATTAAGTGTAGTTGTGGCACTGACATAGCAATGCCTGAACATAGTGGGAGGATGGCCATTCTCAGTTCCAGTCTTCCTATGGAATATACACAGGAAGGCAGGGACTGGTAGCTGAAAAGCATCCATTGAAACCTCTTCACCTCACCATCATCAAAAGTCCTTGACACAGACACCCAGGAGCACTAAAAACAAATTTAAAAAGTTGCCCATGCCTGTCTAAAGTAACTAAGCACGAGGACCTCCAAGGATTTCAGTGAGACACTGAATTGTTTTTCAAGAGCTAAATTTGTATTTGTCTTAAATTTTATTGCATTTCCATTTGACCACAGCCTTACAGATGTGGCTTCATGCTCCATGTAGTTCAGCCAGCAAATTCAAAGAAGACTCCTGGGATAGGCATCTTTTAACACTCAACTGCTGTTTTTTTTTCACACATTTTTCTTTGGCCTCTCAAAGAATCATTTTCTTTTTCACTTGAAGAGGCTTTTGTTAAGTGGCCTGGAAGTGAGATTGCTGTGCATCCATCTTGGCAAAATTAATCCAGGAGTGAAAATGCCAAAAGGGAACCAGTTGTTTATATCCTGAACACTTTCTTCCGCAGTCTGAATGAAAAAGCAAAGTACCTCCTGCAAGCCTCCCTGTCATTCCTTCAAGGGTTATCACTGCCTCCTTCTTCTAATCAGGGCCCTCATCAAAGCAGAAGGGAGCCAAGTCCTTAACGAGCAAGAAACTGAATCTTATAAAGAAAAACACGGACAACTGATCTCATCAGTCACTAGAGAAACAGCAACTGATTCTTTAACAATTACTTGGGAAAATCAGTGATGTGGCAAAAATTTAAAAAATCATGAAGTGTTTGAAATGCGCACACTTACAAATCTAGCATGAGGATAAAAGCATCGGCCCTGGTGTCAAGTAATTGGGCCTCAAAGGTTACCTCTCTCCTTCACATGTTTGAAGCTTTGGGCAACTCGGACTCTGAGCTCCCACTTCTTCATTTAGATTTGGGAATACTAATAACAGGATATGTATAAGGCACATAGAAAATGTGAGAATAATGTTTGTCATGAAAGGGAACAAACAGAACAACAAGATGGCACATGGAACAGAATTTATGCTTGATGGTGTGGGGCTGTAACAAATTTGGAACTTAATCTAAGCCCCATCTGTGTGCCTCTCTGTCCTCTCCTTGGGTTATATCTTCCAGCATTGCTCTTGTGCGGTGCCCGAAGCATTACTTTCTTGGTCTCTCAGTGGCCTGTGGAGTCTTTGAGGGCAATGATCATGACTGATAGGGCTTTACTCAGCTTTCTGTTCATGAAATCTGCATAGGATCTGACGCTGAGCAGCCAGTTAACAAAAAACTCACTTAACAGATGCATTAATCATTTTATGAATGGATATAATTTGTCTTGTTAAAATAATGGAGTGTTTGGACTATAAGAGACTTGTGGAATCATCTAATTGATGTTAATTTTACTGCAACCCTGGGAGTTTGTTTGATTGGTCACACAGTAACATGGAGTTGGTCTAGTATCCTGAACACGATGCTAATTCTGTGCACCACAACACCTTATTTCCAGGTGTTTCATTTTTATTTAGTAATCAGAAAACAAGGAATCAGGATGGGTGGTTCTTATAAGAAGTTGATATGACTGATTTTTTCCTTTTACCTTTTTATAGTAACTCTTTATAAGTCAACTGTGATGGTTGCAGATAACTTCCTCTAGCTGAAATATGTTCTGAGAATATTTACATTCATTTTAGTGGAGCATTTTGTGACATTTTCTGAAAGGCACATGGAACAGAGATCCAACAAAATGCTGATTGAAATCAAAGTGTTTTCTAATGTATCCCATAAACACATACACAAAGTACAGATTTACATTTAAGACTTGGATTTATTTTGAAAACAAACTAGAATTCATTGGTTGTTGAAAAATAATTTCATAGTGGATCTCAAAATACATATGTAATTGTAATCATATGAGCTTCCATTTCCACAGTACCAAATGTAATCACTGATGAAGATTTCACCTATCTAGGATTTGTGATCAGTATGACTGAGCAAAGCTTATGCTTACTTTTAAATTACTTAGTAAAGAGCTGTGAAACAAGTTCCCAAATAGATAATATCAGATCAGTGATTACATTTCTTAAGATAATTTTTTTGTTCATTTTACAACACTATTCATTTTTGGAGTAGAGTTCTTTATTGCTGAATCCAGGCTATTTAGTACCTTGGGACAATGTAATGAGCTTAGTTGAAGAGTAGCTTACTCTGCTGTAAAATGGGAATAATAGAAGGTACTTAAAAAGTTGTGGAGAAACAGAATTATAATATATTTATTTTGGTAAAGGAAGTTAGAAATTCCTGTGTAAAAGGGGTCTTCAAAAAGTTAATGAAAGTATATGTACTATGGGAAATCTATTTTTTAATTTTTACACCGAAATACACATTTTTAAAATTTTGTTTTCCATGAACTTTTTGACATCCCCTCTTACTAGTAACTTTGTATTTGTGTTTTGTGAATACAATATTTGTAAATTTGTATTCCATTTCATGCCCTACAGAATGGCTATGAAATGGAAAAATGTGTCTTCATTGTCAATAAAAAGATAATCAGTGACAGCATAGTCTAAATGTCCATGAGTAAGGCCCTATGATGTGCTTGAACCAACAAATGGTGATGAAAGTAGCACATGTCAGTTCTAGAAGAAGCTTAAATTAGGAGCTCATTTTTTTCAATGTTGTTAATTTCCTCTACCTCCACCAAACCACTTTTGTCTAAGATAAAGAATGACTTGCCAGGGTGGATCTCAGAGACAAAAAATAGAACTGGGCTGAATATGACACCCAATGAGTATATAATGCAATCAATAAATACATTTTGAATTATTAAATTATTCAGGCTCTGGGATTAGTCATTATAAAGCATCACTTAGCCTGAGTGGCTGACACAGCTTTATAGAATTTAGACCTATTTATGCTACTCCCTGTCGCTCCCCCTCTTCGTGGAGGAACGACACAGGACCCTGCGCTGTTCTTCCGTCTGCTCGGCCCTCCCCGGGTTTGCTGCTGGTTCTTCCCGGGTTGGCTACTGTCCCTTCCACCTCCGTGGAAGGGCGGTTCCCCCTGGCCACTTTCCCCACTTCCGCAGGGGAGCGGCACACCGCCGGCCGGCTCTCTGGGGGGCTGCACAGGTGTTCCCCTTAGATGTTCCTGGTGCATGTTGTCTCTCTCCTCCTTTATAGTCCTCTTCCACCAATCCCAACTCGGCTGCCCACACGCCGAGTACGCTGCTCTCCTCCAATCAGGAGCAGGTCCTACAGTTTATTGGTTGAACTGGAGGCAGCTGCGTAGAAGCTGTTTTCTTCTCTCCCAGCGCCATATTGTGGGAGAGCAGATGCACAGAATAAGTCTTAATTCCAGCAACAGTATAGTCCGAGTTGCTCCCCACAACTCCCTCTTAGAAACACTTTACCATCATCTCTGGTGCAAAGTCCAAAACGAAAAGCGAGACATTCAGACATTCTCAAGCCCTGGTTCTTGTCAACCTTCGGGTATCCTCATTGCCTGTTCCTCCACATATTGCACCCAGGCATCTGGCAACTCCAGACTGCTTCTAGCTCTCAGAAATTTCACGCTGCCCCATAATTCCATGTGTGTGGCTTCCTTTCTGTAATACGAAATTATTTCCATTTCCCCCTACATAAGTCGGCTCAAATCACTTTTTCTTAAGGAAGTTGACAGGAACCCCCTGATCCCAATAAGGAAACAGAGTCCATCACCTCTGTAGTTCTTCTGTGTTTTCTTCTATAAATGCATTTAGCATAGGACACAACATGAGTCATGTTTTAACATCTTGAGTTCAGGTTTCAGGTCACATGACTCTGCTGGACCTGCAAGTGACTGGAACGTGGCAGACAGTTGACACATGTTGAAATACATTTTCATCATTTATTTTAAGATAAGAAGAAAAAGAAAACCCAAACAATATTTTGGAAATAAAGGGATCCAATTTTATGGCAGCGGTAAGATCACAGTAATTTTTTTTTATTTTATTTTTTTTATTTTTGACAGGCAGAGTGGACAGTGAGAGAGTGTGAGAGAGAGAGAGACAGAGAGAAAGGTCTTCCTTTGCCGTTGGTTCACCCTCCAATGGCCGCCGCGGCCGGCGCATCGTGCTGATCCGAAGACAGGAGCAGGTGCTTCTCCTGGTCTCCCATGGGGTGCAGGGCCCAAGCACTTGGGCCATCCTCCACTGCACTCCCAGGCCATAGCAGAGAGCTGGCCTGGAAGAGGGGCAACCGGGACAGAATCCAGCGCCCCGACCGGGACTAGAACCCGGTGTGCCAGCGCCGCAAGGCGGAGGATTAGCCTATTGAGCCACGGCGTCGGCCAGATCCCAGTAATTTTTAAGTCTCAATTTCTCTCTCAGGAGTACTATTTGTTTAATATCAGAGATTTGAAATCATCAAGTGGGGCATTAATAGCAGAAGTTATTAATCATTTTCAATGATTTATAAACATGTATCATTAGCTCTCCCTATATCACATTAAACAAGTATTAATAGGGATTTTATTGATAGAAATCTTTTAAATGAGTCATCTCATTTGAAAATGAAATTAATGTGTCAGAATGTCATCAAAATGTCTCAACCTTTTCTTCTCCATCTGTTTTATTTCAGTGACATACTCCACCCTTACAATACCTCCTATACCCTGTACTTGGAAGAGGAACTCTCTAAAGCTATATCAGCCACATATTTCTAGGAAAAGACAAGAACTCTTTGATTCACAGGCTTATTGGAACCCTGCAAACAAATGTCACTTTTCAAACTCAACTGAGGATTCCACCTTGAAATAAGACCACCACCAGTATGTGTCCTAAGACCTTTGTGAGAAAGTTTGGCATTTCCATGCTCACATGGGACATGAAAAACAAATAAACAGACAAAAATACTGAGGCCCTCCTGATGCTCAACATGACAAACAAGGTGCCAGACACCAGAGATTAAAAGAAGGACACTGGGCTTCAACCTCTGCCCTTGGATACTTGCAGTACAGTGGGGAGAGTGTCTCACTAACTGGAAAAAAAATTGCTTTCCCCAGCACTGTACCAAACTATGAGATTATGCAAGAAAATTCTGAAGGAGGAGCTATAGCACATGGCCATGTCAGAGGGCACAGCATGTGCACAGCCATGGGAGATAGAAAATGTGTAACGAGTTTGGAATAGTGGTTGACATCATCTTGGAACTGTCTGAATCCTGCCCATGTAACCTCTGTAACAAACAGCAGCATCCTAATGGATGGATTGTAAGCCTAGTCAGGATGTGTGGACTTGAGAAAAATATACTGTGCATCTGGAAGGAAAGGGAAATAAAGAACAAATCACCCTACAATTCTATGGGATCAGGGCTCATTTTTTCCAAGTTTGTTTCCACTGTAACCAAAATTATTTGCTCCACAGATGTGTTTCATACATAGAGATGTACACTTACACTCATACATAGACTGCTACATTATCAACTAAAGAATGGTTCATTAAAGAGCAGTACTTACTATCACACAAAGAGATATCACGCAACCATATAAATGCATTTAATGACATGGAAATATCTGCAATATGATCTTCTAAACATACAGAAATAAAAAAGCAAACAATGTGATTATAGCACATGATAAACAAGTAGGAACATAACTTATTTTATGAATTAGAATATACTAAAACTGACAGGTTTTTCTGTTATCTCTTAGTGAATTGTTTTTTATCTATTTCTTCATAGTTGTCTATATTCATCCATTTTTCTAGAAGGAGCACGTAGGTTTATAATCACATAGAAAATACATTTAACTAAAAATAAACCTAGAAAACGCCAATGTGGGAATCATAGCTTGTCCTTGGTAAAACTATTTTTGCTTACAGTAGGCAGGACATTCGACTCACCAGACTTAAGCAGTCTCATTGGAAATAATTGAATCTTATTATCAAGGGTGCTCGATGAAACGCTCATGATTTACCATGATCAACCGTTCAAATGTGTTTCTACTTCAAGAATTGCCTTAATACCCTACATAATGCAGGACTTGGTTGACCTTTTATACAGGATTAAAGCACCGTATAATTAACTTTTTTATATACAGAGTTAAAACTTAATGAAAACGTGAGGTGAAATGCCAAGACTTAATTTGCAGACTGCGTTTCTATTTCATATGGTGAGCTACTATGGCTTAGCTTACTGCTTGTGTGTTCTCTCTTCCCCTCTTCCTCTCATCCTACCTCCCTCAGGCACTTTCATTCTTACCAGATCAACATTTTCTATGCGCTTCTACATAGCCCACTCAGAATAAAGCTCCAGAGCTGTGGGGCCAAAGGAGAAAGGGTGAGATTTAAGCTCTCAGGTACAGCAAGTCCTGGTGACTTACTCTGAACTCAAACAAATCTAAACTCAAACCTTGGCAATACACTTACTTGCTGCATAATTTTAGGTAAATTCCTGAATCTCTACACTTAAGGAAACTACAGTTTCCTTATGCTTTAAGGGGGAATAAAGCTTCCTCATGGAGTTATCTGGAACCTTGTTTAAGACAGGACATACAAGTGGTTTAAGATCCCTCCATTAGAATGCTCCTATCTGTTACATAGGTAGGATTCAGACAGTGGCAAAATGGCATCACCCATTGTTCCAAACATGTTACACATTTTCTATCCCCCATGGCTGTGCCCATGCTGTGTCCTCTGACATGGCTGTATGATACAGCTCCTCCTTCAGAATTCACCTGCATATCACCATCGCTTATTTTTCTCTCTTCTACTCCTCTCCCTTTCACTCCCCTAATCACTGGCAGGAGAACTAGCACAGCTTGCCCTGTCCCCCTATACCTTAATTCCCTTCAGTGCTGATGAAACAATGGAGGAATGCTGTCCTCCAAAGTTCACTGCAAATCCATATATACAAACATATATATTTAAATATTTATTTATTTATTTGGAAGGCAGAGTTAGAAAGACAGACAGATTTTCTATTCACTGGTTCAGTCTCCAAATGACTGCAGTGGTTGAAGCTGGGCTGATCTGAAGCCAGGAGCCAAGAGCTTCTTCCAGCTCTCCTGTGTGGATACAGTGTTCTAAGCACTTGGGCTATCTTCTGAAGCTTTCCCAGGTGCATTGGCAAGGAGCTGGATGGGAAATGGAATAGGCAGGTCCCAAACCAGGGCCCATATGGAATACTGGGCCTCATGCTGCAGCCTCACCTGCTATACCACAGTGCAGACCCCTGCCTGGTATATTTTTAAAGTCACAGTAAATATTTGTTGTTGATACATTAATGGCTCTTCATGTGTGGTCCATGATCATGTTTATCTCTAGAGCACACCATTCTCCCTGCCCCAAATGGTGGAGTTAGAATCGTGCCAGGGGATTCCAATACAATCCCATCAAGGTGGCATGTACCAATGCCATCTCACTAGTCCAAGTGATCAATTTCAGTTCACAACTGATCACACTGATAGGTCTCCCTCGCCATCCCTCTCCCTACCTCACAAATGCTCAGTGCAAGTCATGTAGAAACATTTGTTTTTTTTTTTTTCTTGTACATTCTACTATTTCTTTCTTGCAGTCAAAACTATTGTTTTCTTCCAAAATCTGATTTTCTCATCTTTCACAATAGAATTTTCACTTGATACATGGCCTCCAAGAGTGAACAGAAAATATCCCAGCCTCCTTTGCAGTAAGCAACCCCCGGATTTTAGGGAATGGGCTCAAGAGATAGCATCCTTGGGCAACTTCCTAGGGTTGTCTTTAAGAAAGAACTAGGAAACAGTCTCTTTCCCCTGTTTCCTTCTTTCTCTTTAAGCTGATGCCTACCCACAGATCATAACTTGGACCAAGACAATTAGACCACACTCAAAAACAGCAGAAAAATAAGTTAGAAAAAGTCTCGAGGGCTGTGCCAGCCTTCTAACTTTCTGAAAGACAGAAGAAAATGTGTTGGTAGTTTAAAGTATTATTATTAGTGTTTTCCTGCAACTTACAGCCATACCTAATCCTACCTGATAGAGTGCCAAGCTCATTACACATGACAACACTTCTGCCTCTAATGCTATTTCCTGAACTTATTTTTCATAGGAGACTTTTACCATTTCCATGAAGAAGCAGCCCAATTATTGCCACCTCCAGGATTCCTTCCTGGATGCCAAAGGCATGCTAAGCTTGGTAGTTACAATAGCTTAATTGTGGTGATGATCACCATGTATTTCAATGACGTCCGTTGTTCCAGGTGGGCATGCAATAAATATCTGGATGAATGCATAAGTGGATGAATGAATTTGTGGCAAAAATACCCCCAATAAATATAAAAGGCATTCCCATGAATTTCTCTATTACTATTCAGCCAAGGTCCTCACATCACTCAATATATTTTTCTTTCTTATCCACCCGTTTCCTCACACAGCAATAGAAGACTTGCTCTAACACTGAGTAACAATTGCCTCCAGAGTTCCTTAGTCACATCAGAATGCCCTCCTCCAAAGTTCACTGCAAATTCCTATTGATTTTTCTAACCAGAAATCTCAGCTTCACCGATGTGACTGTAAAGACAAGCAGGAAGAACAGTGTGAAATCCATCCCCTACCTAAATCTTCATTACCTTCTGCTATTCTTGTTCCAAGATGATTCAATTACATACTATGTTCTCAACTCTAATTTTTTTTTCACCTTAGGGCTACTTATGAAAAATTAAACTAGTTACATGAGAGAGATTATATTGCTATCTTTCCACACTGCAGAAAAAAATGAATCATCGGGAACTAGAATAGACCAATACAAGTTATTTTGATTTAAACTTTAGATTAGTTCATTGGTGGGCTTTATATGCTACTATATTGCTACTACAAATTTTCCTAAAATATCAATACAAAAATGTAATTAGATCTTTTTTCAAGGTCTTATTTCCTCCACTCTACAGAATATAAGTTGCTTTCTAAAGACTCTCTTTATATTACCAAATAATCCATATTGCTTAAATTTTTGTG